GGGGAATGCGGATGGGGATGAGGGTGGGAAATGGGAATGGGGAGGGGAAGGGGAACGGGAATGGGGATGGGAATAGGAATGGGGATGGAAGTGGGAATGGGATGGGGATGGGAAGGGGAAAGGGAAGGGGAGTGGGAATGGGAAAGGGAATGGGAATGGGTATGGGAATGGGAGTGAGAATGGGGATGGGAGTGGGAATGGGGATGTGGGTGAGAATGGGAATGGGAATGGGGATGGGAATGGAGATGGGGATGGAGATGGGGGTGGGGATGGGGATGAGGGTGGGAATGGGAAGGGGAATGGGAATGGGAAGGGGAATGGGAGTGGGAATGGGACGGGGATGGGAATGCAATGGGAATGGGATGGGATGGGGATAGGGGTGGGAATGGGGATGGGAATGGGGATGGGAGGGGGGATGGGAGTGGGGATGGGAACAGGGATGGGAATGGGGATGGGAAAGGGAATGGGAGTGGGAATGGGAAAGGGAATGAGCCCCTCCATCCCATCCGGAGCTCTCTGTTCATGTCTTGTCCCTGTTCTCTCCATCCCATCCCATCCCATCCCACCCCACCCCACCCCACCCCACCCCACCCCATCCCATCCCATCCCATCCCATCCCATCCCATCCCATCCCATCCCATCCCATCCCACCCCTCTCCCCTCTCCCCCAGGCCCCTCCCCCTTTCCTCCAGCCCTCCCTTCCCGCCCCCAAATCCCGGGAATCCCGCCGGGATCTCACATTCATGAACCCGCTCTCCAGCCCCTCCTCCAGGGCCGGGAACCCCTCGGGGCTCATCCCGGGGGTCCCATCTCCGATCCCGGGGGTCCCTTCCCGCATCCCGGGGGTCCCGTCTCCGATCCCGGGGGTCCCATCTCCGATCCCGGGGGTCCCGTCTCCGCTCCCGGGGGTCGCGGCCGCCGTTCCCACATCCCAAGTTTCCTCGGGATTATCCAGGAAGGCGAAGGAATCCCGGAGCTCCCGGGAGAGCCGCGTCTCTTCCGCGTCTCCTGTTTTGGGGGGGAACAAGGGGGGGTTTGATCCCCATTTCAGCCCGGGGGGGGGGCCCGGGGGGCCCCCCCCCCCCCCCCCCCTCCCCGGCGGCTCCGGGGGTCCCGGGGGGGTCCCAGGGGGGTCCCGGGGGTCTCCCTTCCCCCCTGTCACCACTGCGGCTCTGGGGGTCGCGGGGGGTCCCGGGGGTCTCCCCACCCCCCCTGTCACCGCTGCATCTCTGGGGGTCGCCGGAGGGTCCCGGGGGGGTCCTGGGGGGGTCCCGGGGGTCTCCCTTCCCCCCTGTCCCCCGCGCGGGCCTGGGGGTCGCGGGGGGTCCCGGGGGTCTCCCCACCCCCCCTGTCACCGCTGCATCTCTGGGGGTCGCCGGAGGGTCCCGGGGGGGTCCTGGGGGGGTCCCGGGGGTCTCCCCAACCCCCCTCTCACCGCTGCGGCTCTGGGGGTCGCAGGGAGGGGTCCCTCCCCCCATCCCCTCATCCCCCCATCCCCCCGACCCCCCTCTCACCGCTGCGTCTCTGGGGGTCGCGGGGGGTTCTCGGGGGGGTCCCCTCATCCCCTCGGCTCCTCCTGTCCCCGCTGCGGCTCCGGGGGTGGCGGGGGGGTCCCGGGGGGGCGGTTCCGGGGGTGTCCCGGAGCAGGACGGGGCAGGGCAGCCCCCGGGTGAGGCGGGACAGGTTGGAGGTGACGTGCAGGGGGACGGTGACGGAGAAGGGCCCCGAGATGTGAAGCCCCGCGCACTTCTCGGCCCGGGAAACCCCCCGGGGGGACCCCCCCGGCCCCGCCCGGAGGGTTTTGGGGGTGGTGGGCTCCGATTTGGGGCTGCTCTGGGGGTCCCGCGGGGGTTCCTGCGGCTCCGGGGGGGGTTCCGGGGGGGGGTTCCGAGGGGTCGAGGCTCTGCTGGCGCTGAGGGACCTTCCCCGGGGGGGCTGTGCCGGAGGGGGGGGTCAGAACGGGGGGAGGGGGGCACAGGGGGGAGGGTTGGG